CAAAAAGGGAAAGCACCACCTCTGCACTTCTGCAATGTCCCAAAACAATGTCAGAATCGCTCTGAGGAGTGAAAGTTCTGGAGAGGCAGAAGGGAGGTGAACTCTTCACRTTTTAAAATTTCTCCTCCTCCAAGMAGAGGCAGAAGGGMAAAYCAAAAGCTCTGCAGCRTCACCTGCAAAGCAGAGTTTTTAAGAAGGGACAGGAATTGAAAGTGTTTGGTTTTGGTGATGGCTCTTGTTCCTCTGAGCTCTAAAAGCAGTTTTTCAGCAGAAAACGCACAGGAAGTTGAGAAGGTCAATATATGCTCATATTAATCATCTGAACTGATTAAAAGCTAGGCTGAGTCTTTGAGGGAATGTCAGCTTAACACAGGCCAATAATGGAACAGGGCCTAGGTCCAGATCTCCTTAAGAAATATTTAATAAAAGATCATCTTTCAATGCCCTTGATTCTGCTTGCTCTATGTCCACCATGACAGGATGGAAATTTTTCACTAAACTAGAAGAAGAAATCATGGGGAACGTGTTTGACAGCTACCTGAAGTTGTTTGTTTAAAATAAAACAGCAATTCGCTCAGAATCAAATTTCTGGCACTGGCCTGTTTTCCCTTAGAATCCTCAGCCCTTGTGGAGCTACAGTTTAATTTTAAATTAAGAATCCCAAGGAACTCTTTGTACAATGATTCCAGCAGCACAGAATGTTTTAGAACAGGAMAATGACAGGTTTCATTCATAAAGGTCCTGCAGGGTTACAGGGTCTGAGAGCTCAACTGCTGCTCCTGGAGCAAAACATCTTCAATTAATCCAAAGTGGTTAATTACACCTTCCTTTAATAAAGGCTCCGGTGTAATTTTCTTTTTTCACTCTTGGTTAATGGATTCCAGCCTAAGCCAGGATCATGTGCTGCAGAAAACACAGGGAAATAAACTGCTGGAATAAACTGCAGGGGAGATGGAAATCAGGGGGGAAAGGGTTTGGAATCAGCAGGGAAGGRCAGGAATTCTTCATTCACTGTCTGAGTAAGGCACAAAGGGGAACGTGTGGGACCAGCAGTGCCAGATTTGCTGCAGAAAATCATCAACAACTCTGYCCAACCTGGCCTTGGGCAATCCSAGGGATCCAGGGGCAGYCACAGCTTCTCTGGGAGGAATTTCTTCCTAATATCTTGAAAAACAAGAGCTGAATCCAATAATTAAATAAATAACCACAGCATGAACTTCACCGAAACGTTTCTGCCTCTCATTCAGGCATGAACGTTCCAGCAGGGCTGGAATGCTCCCACAAAGTATTTCAGAGCTGAAAAACAAAGCCTTTCCCTGAAAACTCRCTTCACCTGACAATTACTGCCTAAACCTGTTTCATAAAAGAGCTCTGTTTTTTTGTGGTTTATTTTTTTTTTATTTTTTTTTTTTCCCTGTTGAATGGTGCTGAAACAGAGGGGAAGTCAGAGCTCCTCGTGATTTCACGGGGGTTTGATCTCAGCATTCCTCTTCATTTCACGTGATGGAGACACCAACAAGGTCTGAGCAAAACTGGAAAATCAACCAGACACGTTAGGAACAATCCCTGCTCTGGGGGGTTTTGCTTTTTCTGTTTCCTCAGTGCTCATCTACACAGAAATCGATGGCATTGCAAATTCCAGCTATTTCTGTTTGATTCATTAATTCTGATTCAGGTTTTACACAAAAAAATATCGATGCATAACTGTGCTATGCTGAACTGGAAGAGTTGTTAAATGCAAGGGGCGTGGGGAAAAGGGGTGTGTGAGAACAGAAGGGGAGGAATTTCAAATCAAAACTTCTGCCMAGTGAGAATGAAACTAAATCCGGGTTGAGGGTGACATCTAGTGATGCTCAGCACAAATTCTGCCCATTTTTGCATCCCCTCACTCRTGCAGAACATTTAAACTTTCATCACCTTTCACAAGATACACCCTAAGAAAATACTTTCCCCTAAACTGTGCGTTTAATTTTTTTTGGGGGGTAATGCAAGTTAATTTTTTAATTATTGAGGTTTAATTAAATAAACCAGCTCAATCTATATTATGTATATAAATTGATAAACATGATAAATTATGTTATAATAATATATTAACATAATAAATTATGTTAATAACTAYGACTGGAAGTTGTAAAAACTTCAACTTTTTTGGAAAAAGACCCTGGAAATCTCTCCATTATGAGCATCCAACACGTGAAATTGCCAGAGATTCTGCACCCGTGACTGTGCCAGGCCCACCATGAAGAGCCCAGATGGGGAATTAAATTCTGTGTTTGCAGATATCCCCAATCAAAACCCAAATGGACACTCCAGGAATGAGCACACAACTCCAAACCAACAAATTCTGCTCTGCTAAGAGGAAAAAATTCATCTTTTAAGTCCTTTTTTAGAGAAAATAAAACAGAGAGATCTTCAAGAGTTTTATACTTGCTAATTTGACTACTCAAAACTTCAGGACAGCAATAATTCCCTGCTGCATGGGAGAAATCATCTGCTTATTATGCTGCRATTTCCTTTAAAATTTCCACTTTTGTCTGTTGAAAAGGAGTGAAAACAAAGGAAAGTGATATGCATTTATCAGCCATTATCAGCTCAATCTGATGTCAAACCTTGAACAGGATTTTTCATTCAGCAGCCTCACGAGGGAATTCTCTGAGGAAACTCCATTATCCACGTCTGGCAGTAAATGCTACTTTCTCTTTCCCCAAGATTAAATCATTCCACTAGTGAAGAAACAGCTGAGCAATAAGAGCACTTGAAAAATAAATAAACCTTGCTTTTAACTTCTTTGTAAAAGGTTTTTTTTTTTTTCCTGGGAAAATTATTCATTTCTGCTGGTAGCTAAACCAGCCAAACCTTCATCTTTGCTTTCATCACAGCCAATATTTCATTTACTGYGCTGACCTCCTCTTATTTGCAGCTTATTTTTCTTAGAATGGGAGTTATTTTAGGAAAGAACACGAATGTAAGAGATAAACCTGATTTCCACATTCAACCCATTGCCTCTTTGTGGGCTCAGGGTGGGTTGTCCTGACTTTTCTTTTTGCTTTTTAAGKGCTGCTCATAATTCTGTGAAGGATCCATCTGCCGTGATTGAAGCACACGAAACTTTCATTAGAGATTCCTGGGCTGGATCATCATTTGTGATTAAAAATGGTGAGAGAAGTGCAGGGCAGATGGGCAGAGATGAGGGCAGAGATGAGAGCAGAGATGAGGGCAGAGATGAGAGCAGGGCTGTGCCCGAGGCTGCTGAAGGAAGGGTCTGGCAGTGCCCAGAGCTCTAAAAACACAGGGTACATCCCTGATAAATCCAGCTCTGTGCTCCTGAACTGCCCCAGCTTTCCCGGCAGGGCCAGGGCACAGAACAGCACAGAGGCATTTTCCTCTCAGCACASTCAAACAGGAGGAGGCTGCTGATAAATGTTGTCAAATCCGTTTTAAACTGCTAAAAATTCATTTAAATGGGTTTTTTAATTATTGTAGAAGCGCAGGGGGTGTTTTCCTCAGTAAAATTCCCAGTTCAGGAGCAGGTTTTCCCAGCCTGGTGTGGGTTCTTGCACACAGAACCTGCCGAGTTTTGAACTCAAGGTGCTTTCAAAAGTTCTCATTTTTCTGCTGAGAGAGACCCCAAAGTCCATCCCCAAAACCCACCCCTGTAAATCAGGCTGGAGAGCATTTCTGTGCTCAGAATCGGGATCTAGGTGATCAAACAAAACAAGAATAACAATCAGCCCTTGTCTGTGTCAATTCTGGGGGTGTGAAAGCTCCTCCTAAGAAATACTCAGAACAGATCAGTTCTGGGGCCAAACCCACAGGGATTTCTCACCACCCCTTTGATCACCACGGATATGAGAGCCTGAGTCACACCGAGCTTTTGAAACACACATTTCATCTCCGTCTGCAAGGAACAAAACAGGTCAGGGATTCTGGTTTGGAGGCTGGGAGAATRAAATAAGGGAAGGAGATAACAATATCCACGGAGAGAGAAATGGAGAGGGATGAACAGTGCTGCAGGGGATGTTCTCCTTCCCAARCACCCACTCTCTCCTGACCTCTGCCACAGCTCTAAAGTCCTTCTGCAAAAACAGGAGTTGGGAAATATTCAGGCATCACCAGATTTTTTTTTTTTTTTAAAAAAAAGTCAAACTGAGAAAATTGCACTGCAGAAATACTGAATGAATGAAGCGCGAGGACAATCTACTTGCTTGTGAGCTTGCTTGCTCACACGGGATAAATTAAAATCTCCTGGCTCCTGCAGAGGCTTAAATCAGAACAATCCCAGTTAAGACCAGCTTTAACAGCCCCTCAGGATGTGCAGGGATGGCGTTTGAGCATCCTGCCCTCCCCAAATCCTCCCGCGGGCAGGACACAACCGCCCAGAGCGGGCAGAAAAGTTGAAAGGAATCGAAATGCGCTTTTTTCCGAGGGATTTCAGAGCGAATCCATCCAGTCCGGGATCTGCAGATGGCGCCAGAAGGTTTGGGAGCGCCGGGATGCGCTCCAGGTGCTGCTGCTGTCACTCACCAGGTGCGCGCTCTCCAATGGCCAATGCTCTGCTCGCAGCGCCAAGGAGGAGTTGGTTTTTATTTCCTGGCATCTATAAATCCYTTAGTTCTCTTTTCTTCCCACCGAAATAGCAACAGATACTTGGCTGAGCCGCAGATCAGGGGAAACTCCGGGTTTTTCCTCACCAGCAGAGCTGAACCCAGCGATGTCCTGCTGCCGATCCTTCCCTGCGGGAAAACTGCTGGCTGCCTGCAAGCTTTGAAACTCCCTCTCTTCTAAAGGAAAGAGCAGCCTGTGACTGACACAAACTCCCTGTAAACGCAGATTTTTTTGATGTTTGCACTTGTAAAAGTGATTAAAGTCCTGCTGATTGCACCCCGTATGCACAGCAGCAGCTTGGAAGGACTCGTTTTCCTTTTTCTTTTTTTTTTCTCTGTTTACTCTGTGCTCCCTGGGGTCCACGAGCTCTGGTGAATCCATCTCCTTTGCCGACAATGAACACCACCCACTTTGCATTCTCATTCCAGCCCGTGCTGCTCAACGTCACCGAAGASCTCAACGACTCCGTCCTGAGCAACAGAAGCGGCGACGGGTTTTGCGAGCAGGTCTTCATCAAAGCCGAGGTTTTCCTGACTCTGGGCATCATCAGCCTCCTGGAAAACATCCTGGTGATCCTGGCAGTGCTGAAGAACGGCAACCTCCACTCTCCCATGTATTTTTTCCTGTGCAGCCTGGCCGTGGCAGACATGCTGGTCAGCATGTCCAACGCCCTGGAGACCATCATGATCGCCATCCTCAGCAGCGGCTACCTCATCATCGACGACCACTTCATCCAGCACATGGACAACGTGTTCGACTCCATGATTTGCATTTCCCTGGTGGCCTCCATTTGCAACCTGCTGGTGATAGCCATCGACAGGTACATCACCATTTTCTACGCCCTCCGCTACCACAGCATCATGACGGTGAAGAAGGCGCTGACGCTCATCGTGCTCATTTGGGTGGCTTGCATCATCTGCGGCATCATCTTCATCGCCTACTCGGAGAGCAAGACGGTCATCGTGTGTCTCATCACCATGTTCTTCGCCATGCTGCTGCTGATGGCCTCTCTCTACGTGCACATGTTCCTGTTYGCCCGGCTGCACGTCAAGCGCATCGCCGCGCTGCCCGTCGAGGGCGTGCCCCCMCAGCGCACCTGCATGAAGGGCGCCGTCACCATCACCATCCTCCTGGGGGTCTTCATCGTCTGCTGGGCTCCCTTCTTCCTCCACCTCATCCTCATCATCTCCTGCCCCATGAACCCCTACTGCGTCTGCTACACCGCGCACTTCAACACCTACCTGGTGCTCATCATGTGCAACTCCGTCATCGACCCGCTCATCTACGCCTTCCGCAGCCTGGAGATGAGAAAGACGTTCAAAGAAATCGTGTGTTGCTGCTATGGCATGAGTGTGGGACAGTGCATGCTGTGAACACCTGGCTTTGGGTGGAAAACACACACCTTTGGGTGGAAAACACACACCGGGGGCGTAGAAATGCAAATATATATATATATAGATATGTATGTATCAAAAACACAGAGCAGCTCACTTCAAATGCAGTGCCTGAAGGAAGGGGGCAGGAAAGACAAAAGCCTTCTATATGTGATGCCTTGTTTCATACTCTTTAGAATGAATACCAGTTTCAACTGAATTATTTGMAGTTTTTAAAGTGGTTATAACAGAAGGAAATCCAGAGTGGGTTACAAAAGAGCTTCAGAAACTTGCCGGGAGAAATGAATCCTGGAAAGGAATGCCAGCTTCTCGAGACTGAGATAATATTCTCTCTAGCATTCATTTGTGCCTGTTGCTTTTTCTCTGTGCCACTGCCAACAAGTCAGTGCTTTCTCAAAGATTTCATTAGCAACCTCTGTGGAGAGCTATTTATCCAACCGCCCCCAGGTAACGGCATTGTTCCACACCTCCACCTCCACCTTTTAATGAAAGAATAGATTGGCATTTTTGCTATTGCCGTAAAGCATAAAATTTTCCAAGGGTGGAAGCAAACGTTTCTCTTCTGAAATCTGTTATCACTACAGTATCGGTGACAGTGTGACTTAAAAAGCTGCCTGATAGGGTTGATTYGTATGAAAGCTTTTACATTATTTATTGTGATATAAGAGTATTAGATCCTTGCACTTTTAATTATTTTTTTAAAGCTGGAATGCACTGATCAATGTAGTATTGGTTATGTTTGTAAAAAGTCACAGAAGTCTCCTTTTGATAAATCCCCGCTAAGGAGAGCCAGGGATGTGAACAGCAGAAAGAATTAAAATGCAAAATACTTTGAATGGTGTAAAAGCTGCAGGGACTCATCAGCACCTGAAGAAATCAGATGTGTGTGAGAGAGGACTTCATGCATCGAGAAATAAATGTCAGGGCTGGGTGCTGCTGCCCTGTCTGCCTCCCTTCCCCAGCTCAGTGTGTGTTCCTGGWGTGCAGAGCCAGACCTKCWGCTGCCACAGCTCAGCCTTTGCCTSTGCTTTCTGCAAAAACAGACCTSCAAAGGGCACTTTGTCACTGATGCAGCTTGGACATGGCACAGGCACAGGCAGAGCCACCCTAAAGGCTGTTCAGCACCTTCCCCAAACCCCCAGAGCTGGCTGATGCTTTCAAACATCTCCAAGATCTCATTTGACTTAAAACTCTCTCTTTTATTTCTTCCCCACCTTCTTATTTTGAGTGGAGTTACTGCGTTATTATTATTTATTATTATTATTTATTATTACTATTTTATTATTGTTGTTATTATTGTTATTCATTATTTCTGGAAGCCCCCTGTGCCCGGTGAGAAGCTGCTGATGCAGCCCAGAGCCTGCCCAGCCCCTGTGCCCCAGTTCTGCCCCGCACTGGTGATGGTGTTCCAGAGCCCTGCTGCCCATGGGGGCTCCCATTTCCCACTCCCATTTCCCACTCTGCACTCCCATTTCCCACCCTGCACTCCCATTTCCCATTCTGCACTCCCATTTCCCACTCTGCACTCCCATTTCCCACCCTGCACTCCCATTTCCCACTCTGCACTCCCATTTCCC